GTCAAATAAATAAAATCTTTAAAAATAAATAAATAAATGTCACTTTCTAGAAAGCCCATCTTTAACCACTGCCCCATCTAAATTATATATCCCCACTATCACCTAATGGGTAAATTGAAACCATCACCATGAGAACAATACCATGAAGTTGTCAAACGCTGACCTGAAGCTAAGGGCACTGCATACTATGGAGGTTAGGAGAGGAGAGGAAGAATTCTTTAAGTGCTAGAGAAATTTGAGGCCATGTCAAGGAAATGTTCTGATGAGGGGATCTATAAGGGTGTCTGGGACTTTGGATATTGCTGAGATTTGGGGTTGCATTTGGTGTCTCTAAATTATATATAATTAAAATATACATATTTTAATTATAATATTCATTTGTGTGTTTAAGATGTCATCTCCTCCACAAAACCACAAGCTTTCTGAGGCTAGGGATCATACTGACTATTCACCAGTCAGTCCAGTGCCTAAAATATAGTAGGCACTCAATAAATACTTGGTGAGTAAATGAATGAAAAAAAGAATGAATAAAAAAACCGCTAATGAGAATTGTAACACAGCGGGACTGGGGCTGATTGAAGGGTTGGGTTTGCTTGAAGTTGCTCTTGCACCCAGAATGGATACAATGTGTTAGATATTTACAATTTGTGGGTCTAAATAAGACACCTGGTGAGAAGTGTCCCATGAATAGTAGGAGCTCCAGAGCACTGAGTATCATGGAACAGGTTTGAAAAAGCAAATAAAGGTAGCAAAGAGAAGAGTTGGTAGAAATATAGGAAATAACGAAAACTTTTGATTGAGGCCTGAAAGTAAAAATGATATGACTTGGGTTCAACCCAAACAGGCTTAATTAGAAAGCTCTGTTTTGTTCAAATTGAGTAGAAGGCCTAGGGGTGGGGGCTTCCACAAGGAGCCCTGGGACATTAGGAAAAGGTAGAGCACCTGTGCCTCACGCATGATGAGCTGGGAGTTCAGGGACAGGTACCGCACAAGCTGCTTTTCCTTTACAGGAACACTACACCACTATTTGGTCAGAAGCAGAAATCCCTGCCTGGAGTCTTTTGCCCAGTGCTATGGCCGGCCTCAAACTGAAACTTACTGAAAATTAGCATGCTGGCAAACATTCTTAAGAGTTGGTGAGAGGCTTTGATCAATTAATGACTATTAAGCACCTCATCAGAATCTGATATCATGTTTTTATGA